AAAAAAAAAAAAAAAAAAAAAAAACGGCGTTCAGAAAAATATCAGCTACCAGTACAACACATCTAAATTAACAAAAGAAAAAAACAAATGTAAAGAATTGAAATCTGGTTCACTGTCCACAAGCAATGTACTAGTTGTTGGGGACAGTTTGTTTTTTGTACAAATTATTTTAAACAAACATTTAAAATTAATATTAAATTTCTATTTATTGTTACTTTTTTAAGTCACATCAAGTCCAGCACCAAGGCAAAAGCTTAATAGATCAAAGTTAATAATAATATTAATGTTAATACTAGTAACACTACTAATAATAATGATGATGATGATGATGATGATGATGATGATGATGATGATGATGATGATGATGATGATGATGATGATGATGATAGTAAACCTGCTTGATCGACCTGCTTGATCGCGCCTTGGTTAAAACTACATTTCCCATCAGAGGCCCTCCTCATAATAGGTGGAACTATAGAGCTACACACTCATGTACAGTAGGTGGCGGTATGCACCTATAAACTGTTTGCAATGCGCCATTCAACATAGAAGAAGAAGAGGCGCCTCCTTCTCTGCTACACATGCGCAGTCTGCCGTCCTACTCTGGACAGCTGTAGGAGAAAATGGCAGCACACATGCTAGGACAACAGGTAAGACATTGAACCATTTCTCGCCCTTTGCAACATATTACCGTATTTCCAGCCAATATAAGCCAAGCTTAGTGGGCTGTTTTATATACTATACGTGTTTCAGTGGTGAGAGAGTGACCCTAAATGTTCACAACATGTTAACGTCTCTGTGCACTTGAATGACTGCTAACCTGTTAGCTTCGCAGCTAACCGCCCGTAATGTAAACGGCACAGAAGACGTCAAAGTGAAAACGTTTTGCTTTGTTTGTGTGCAGATAGTTTCTTTAACAGTTCTGTCCTTTCTTCCATCCAGGCCCGCATGTTCAGCACGTCTGTTATCAGACCAGTTGCTAAACTGATTAAGGTAAATGTTTCGACCTAATTTGCTAACCTGCCATGTCATTATTGCACTGAGCTGCTGCTCAGTTGAATGATGGACTCTGTTCATATTTTATTTTCAGCCTCCCATTCAGGTGTATGGGGTGGAGGGCCGTTATGCTACAGCTCTGTTCTCTGCAGCCAGTAAGCAGAACAAACTGGACCAAGTGGAGCAGGAGCTGGGGAAAGTTACTGTAAGTAATCCACTTTAGTACCACTTCATCATAACAAGAACTAGTTCTACTCTAATATCAGACTGTTTTAAAAGGGCTGGATTAATTTTGAAAGTTTACCGCCTAATAGTATCTCGGCTTCTGTCTCCTTGAACCCCAGTCGGCCTCAGCAGATGGCCGTTCGGACTGAGCCTGGTTCTGCTGGAGGTTTCTTCCTGTTAAAAGGGAGTTTTTCCTCTCCACTGTCGCTACAAGCATCCTTAGTGTGAGGGATTGCATTCCAGTCAATGAGTTGATGCAATGAATTTTTTTTCCTTAGAAAACCTTGAATCAATTTGACTGGATGATCTGGTGAACTGTAAAGTGCCTTGAGATGACATGTGTTGTGAATTGGTGCTATAGAAATAAACTGAATTGAAATGAAATATATTCTGAGCAAAAAACTAAAGCTCTAACTCCATCTCTCCTTTGATCATTTCTGTGAAGCAAAGATTAAAATAAATATTTACATGTTAAGTCCTTAACAAATTCTGGCATGGGTTAGCCCAGGGGTCGGCAACCCAAACTGCTCCAAGAGCCATATTGGACCAAAAAACAAAAAATAAATCCGTTTGTAGCCGCAAAAATGTGAAAGTCTTATATATCCCTCGTATGGCAACACTGGCTCTAAGTGTATTATCCCACTATAGAAAAGGACTATGTAAGCTTACATTTAAAATAAACCTTCATGATTAAATGTTTATCCTGGAGCAAATGTCACATAGCAGCATGAGGTAAAGGAGGAGCAGTGAATGCTTTCACCGCGCCACGCTGGTTGCAAGTTATGACCATTGATCTCTATGGCTATGACGCAAATTATTGTTTATATTTATTATACAAAGCTTTACAGCATTGGAAAACATAATTAATTTTTGTTTGACCTCCTGCTCAACATATTAAAACAAACAAAAAAAAAAAAAATCGATTTTCACAAATTTTTTGAAAAAGCTACAGGGAGCCCAAGGGGTGTGCTATAGAGCCGCTTGTGGGTCCCGGGGGTCGGAACCGCTGGTTGCTGACCAGCGGGTTAGCCCTATGCCCTTGTTTATTTCTCTTTGTTTTTCTCACAAACTGAATTTTATAATGGCTAAATTTCCAAAATGGTTACTTTCATTGTTATTTTTTTTTATGCTTGTGTCCAAAGAAAACAAAGATTTTCACCAAAAAGTGATTATGGTTATTTTAAAAATCATATTGCATATTTATTTTTTTCCTTTAAAAAAATATCGAAGAAATCAATATAGGCTGAATTCGAATTCATGGGCTGCGTCGTACAAAGACGCGGTCTAACTAGACAGGATCATTCAAGGTCTGTGAAAATCAGGGGACCGGAAGAGTTTTGACCTTCCACGGCTTTCACTGCCTGTATGCTCTGTCACCTAGCTACTGTGAGACACAAAAAGCAGGAAAAGATGAATACCAAACTTCTCACTACTGTGTTTTTTGTTTTGTTTTTTTAGATTTTTTTGTTGTTGTAAAGTGAACAAAGATTGCACTCATGAGAATAAAGAGTGGAATAAAGGTGACAACCACCGGGAGCATGAACAAATAAAAGCAAATGTAATGATATTAAAGGAGAAGAAAGATATAAGTAAATCTAAACAATGTATGCATGAAAATATAGCAGCAAAATCTCTTCAACAAAAAAAACTTAGTTAAGTAAATTGTGCTATATAACAATAAAAAAATAAAAATCATATCAGATTTATAGTCCCCAAGCTGCAGATATATTAGAAGCTGTCCTTAAATTGCAGCCAAACCCATTTACACAGTAACAGATAAAAACCTTTCAATTAACCAATTATTACCGTCCACATATCTGACTCAAAAACCATTTAAAAAAAACAATTTTCATTATTTTCAGATGGAACTAACTTACATAGTTGTATTATATATTAAACTGCACTTCCAATATTCACCACTGTTCGGTGCCAAGTACCGTTTTCCTCTGAGCATGGGGCAGGCAGCTTGCTTGGTCTTGCAATAAATCCTGGGATAACCAAGGCTAACGGGCAAAAAGAAGGATGCATTTGTCGGCCGCATAACGAGGAGTCTTGCAATCCGAACAGACCTCAGCGCTATGACGTAATTGGCCTTCGAATCTGGCCTCCAGAGGACGCATCCCCTGTATTACAATTCAGGCAGAGATAGCTACGACCTTAACTCTTCGCAGCCAGTGGGTGGCGCCCTGGCTGCTTCTTCCAATCTTCAGTTGTCGTAATTACCATCTGGTGACTATAGCTGTGTCCGATCATCCTCCCTTATCCCCGTATAGAGCACTATATAGGAATTAGGCCATGTTATGCTTGTCTAAAAATGGTGGATTCAAAATTTCCCACAATGCACCTTGAAAAGTAGTGTACGCCAATGGTCCCTAAATGAGCAGATGAATCCAAGAATGCTTTGCAAAATCTTTCCTAGCAAACTTCTGTTTTTGGATCAAGAAATGGCAAAGAAGATACAGGCACCGTACAGGGAGCTGGAGTCGCATGACAATTGGGGAGTGAAAAATAGTGGTTCTCTGTCCAGTCAGTTAAGTAAAATCACTATAACATTCTCTTTATAGTCCCCGCTCTATTTAGTGATTGAGGGGTTAGGGGGTTTGGGTGGACGTTCGGACACAGCCCATGTCAGTTAATGCGAACTCAAGCATTACCAAAAGTTAACTACTGCTGCATGGCTTCTTGACCCTTTGTGTTTAGTTTTATTTCTTTCAGTTTAGTACATGTGGGAAAAGATTTGTAGCTGCTCTAAGCCAAATGACAGTCGGGCTGCAAAAAGGAAAATAAAAACCTGTGTGATCGGATGATTGAATGGTTACACCCTCAGTTTATAAACTTTTGTGTTAAGCAAAAGTGACATACTGAAATTTAATGTAAAGAGACGTACATGGCGTCTGACTTTCAGACTCAGACATACTTTAAAGGAGAAGTTAGGTTTTTAAC